AAAAAAAAAAAAAGCCAAAAGTCAAAAACACCAATGAACAATGTCTCTTGACTCCTACCTTAAAGTGATTCATACTCCACACGAGGTCTCTAGAGTTGTTAGCTCGTCCTCCAGTCTCAAGGGAGCTGAAGTTTGTTGTGAATCATTTTCCCACTGGAGCTTAAGATCGAAGTCAGAAACAGTTGTGCAGCCAATAAGTCCTGCCACATTGAAGGCAGAGGCAGAACCACAAATTTGAAGCCAACTTAGACCGTGTATCAAGATTTTAAAAAGGGAGTGGGGAGATGGGGTGTTACTCCCTGATCCCTGGCTTCAGTTCCTAGCACTGAGTAGGGGCAGGGGGAAGAACCAGGCACAGACTGTTAACTGGCTAGTGTGGCCAAGAAAATGAAGTCACCTCACGGTACCAGGTTTCCCAGAGGAAAACTTAAATTCAACCTCACTTTCTATAAAATGTAAATTTATAAATTCAGAACTGCAGAATACACCTGCAACAGAAAGACTTAAGTCCTCTGTAACTGACTTTCATTAGTCAATCTGATGATTAATAACTGTTACTCTGCAGTACAGATAGGGCCACTATACAAGCAGTAATTTTTTTTTGCAGTACCAGAGATTGAACTTGGGACCCTGTGCTTGCCAGGCAAGCACTTATTCTACTGAGCTATCTCCCTGGGCCCAAATTTGGTTTTTAGACCATGTAAGAAATGTCATACTTCCAGGAGTTCTCCCTCTCAGAGGAAAAGCCCTGAGGCACCGTGTTCTCACACCTTCATCTGCTGCCAGATGCAGGACACACGTCACTCACACATCACGGCACCACCCCTCTTCTTGTTCCCCTCCACTCCAAGGCACTGGAGGAGGGGCAAGCCAGCCAGACTCAGTGGTCGTCCTGTCCGATGCTCTCCTCTGTCCCTCTCAGACCACACACACCATCACACTTGTGCCAGTGTCGCTGCTCAAGGTTCTTTATGCACTTTGCCTCTTCCCCTGGGTCATGGACAAGACACTTGTTTACATTCAGTTTTAGAATTTATTTATATCATCAATAGAAAGCAGGTTTAAAAAATATTACATTTGGTTTTAGAAATAATAAAAAAATCAGTACAGTTATGTTGCACAACTTTGGAAGGCAGAGTTATGCTTTCACATCAGCGACGTCCAATATACAATGCTGACAGACACCTAAATAGTGGGTGACAATGGGTACATGATGTGTACATTTTATTTATGTATTTATTTTTGGTACTGGGAATTGAACCCAGGACCTAGCGCTTACCAGGTGGGTACTGTGCTGCTGAGCTACATCCCCAGCCCACAATACAGGCAGTTTAAAGTCTTCTCTGTCATTATTTATTTTAGGGCAAATACCAGTCCAATGGAAATCGTTCCAAACATAAAAGGCACCTACAGTAAACATTAGACCTTAACCAATAAAAAGAGCTACATGTTTACATGAAAAGGCCCTACCACTGCAGCTCTCCTGCAAGGCATTGAGAACACAACTGCAAACTAAAAAGGATAAAAATGCTTACCTGAATCTGGTACATGAACTGCATAATGACCGTCATCCTTACTTTTTGGTGGTGGTACTGAGCACTGAACCCCAGCGCCTACACACTTTCCTAGATATGGTAGTGCATACCTGCAATCCCAGCACCTGAAAGGCTAACGCAGGAGGAATGCCAGCCTGGGCTACACCGAATTCAATGGCAGCCTGAATTACAGAGACCCTGTCTTTAGTAAGGCAGGATCTCACTAAGTCACCATGCTACCCAAGCTAGGCTTCAACTTTTGATTCTTTTGCCCCGTCAGTCTCCCAAAGCACTGGAATGATAGGTATGCACCACCATGCCCAGCTGACAATCACCTTTGTGATTATGAACCTATAGACTTTTTATTAGCACTGGAATCAGTGTGAGTACTATATTTATATTAGTAACTGGGGCCTCTCACATTATCCATCATCAAGATTCATTTTGTTGCATTTGCTCTTAAAACACTTGCTGTATGCTCCATTCATGATGTGCTAAGAATTCCTGTTGCCCTTCAAATATTCAGCACAACTCAAAATTGCTATTTCTTTTCTTTCTTTCTTTGCTATTCAATACTTTTAAAACCAAAGTCTTTTTATCATTATAAAATCTGCAAAACTGATATCTGATTATGATTTAAGCACCTAAAGTATATTCTGACCAATTTATATTCTTCGAGTTAATATTACGATGCTCAGGATTTCTGTGTATGTATAAACATTGCAAATTATTTCCTTAAGCTAATAAAAACTTTAAAAAGTACAAATAATCCTTTACTATGAAGATTCAAATCCATATATGGGCGTTCTGCCTTAACAGGAAGCAAATACTTGTCTGCATGTGGAGCAAACACTGCTCAGCGGAGCCAGGTTGTGTTCAGCTGAGTCTGGTTCTTGATGCTGGTATCCATTTTTAGCACTTCTCGAATGGCCATGGTAGCGTAAGTAGAAGGAGGAAGCGAAAAATCCATTTTCAGAGCCCTGTATTTGCCTTCTGCAAGGCAGGAAAGAAGACAATAGTCAGAAAATGAAAACAGTCACAGGCAGGGCAGAGAAAGTCACAGAATCTCTAGATAATCAGGAAGAGCTGTGCTCTCAGGGCTGGCCAGATAGCTCGGCAGATTAAAGTGCCTGCGTGTCAGCACCGCCCCCAGGGCACACTGAGAGGGTGACTGAGACTGGGCAGTGGTGGCGCCCACCTGTAATCCCAGTGCTTGGAGGATTACAGGAGGTTGGCTCCGAGTCCAATCTATAGTGAAACCCTATAGATCCTGAACTAAATGCAAAAAAATAAAAAAAAAGCTGTGTCCCCGCCTTGGGCTTCTATCACCCTGGGCCTCATAGAATGGCACCATGGGAGTCCAAGACCTGTGAGCGTCTGCTGGATACTGGAATTCTATCCAGGAGGCTTCAAACAAAGGCAGGCAACAGAGAAGCACAGAAGAGAAATGCACCAGAGTTTATTTTTTTCAAATCAAATTGGTAGGACAGTTTCAATAATTAACACACTGCATACTGTCTTCCTAGTGGTTATTTGCTGTACAAGATGAGGACATGATATCCTATTTACAAACACTATTAGAATAAATCCCTCTATTCATTAAGAGAATGTAACTATGTATCTATCCTAACCATTTTTTTTTTTTAATTGCTCCTGGTGCGATCGAAACTTGGGATCCTCTTGCCTCAGCCTCCTCAGGGCTGGGACTACAGGTGAGCACACTATGCCCAGCACAAATTGCTGGTTTTTATTTTTATTTATTTATTTATTTATTTATTATTTATTTTGCGGAACCGGGGATTGAACTCAGGCCCTCGGGCTTGCCAGAGAAGCGCTTATTCCACTGAGCCATCTCCCCAATCCTATCCTAACCATTTTGAATACACAGATACAAAATGGACATTCATCTGTATCCCCTTTTTTGTTTAGTTCCATCATTGAGTATTACAGGTGTGTGAACTCAGCAAAATATTTCAAAATAGTCCAGTAGCCCATAATAGTATTGGTTCTTCCGCTTGACTGGCAATGTCAGAAATTGTTGACCTGAGTCCCCTACAGCTCAACATAACACCATGGCTTTACTTCTTATACTTCGTCTTTATACTTTTCTGCTGGCATCTGAGTTTAAAGCAGGTAAATATAGGGCATGGGGTGGTCGGGGGGGGGGGCGCGGGGAATGGGATGGTGATGACAAATACAAGCGACAATGCCACATGTTTGCCATGTTCTCTTTCTTATATAGTGTAGGCTGAACTTGAACTCGCAGTGATCCTCCCACCTCAGCCTCTGAGTGCTAGGATTACAGGTGGGCACCACCATACCAGGTACATGTTCTCTTTTTCAGAAGTCTGCTCTCATTTTTGAGGCTGTACCTCTGCCCGTTACTACTTTTCATTGGCCTGCACTCACTCATATGTTTCTTTTCCTATGTTCAATAAATGTAAAACCATGCCACCTTCTTATTTATTTATTTATTTATTTATTTATTTATTTATTTTTGCGGGACCGTGGATTGAACTCAGACACTTGGGCTTGCCAGGCAAGCGCTTATTCTACTGAGCCATCTCCCTGGCCCCCATGCCACCTTTAAAAAACGAAGAAAAACAGGAATGAAGAGAGGAAGGAAGGAAAGAAAGGGAGGGAGGAAAAGAAATTAACAATGAGAAAGCAATTCCATTTTTCAGACATCTTCCTTACTGTCTGTACATGAGGACAGGGACGAAATATGCAGCCGCCTAGTACACCCCATGTGTAACCTGCATCTTCAGTGCGAGTGACTGTGGAGTCACCCACCTCGGGCTGGGATCATGAAGCCAAGGCGACAGCACATGAGAGGCATTACAGAGCGGGTGAGTGGCAGTGATGAATGTGAGCAGTTTCCCCAAAACATTGTGTTTTCACCTGAGAACACATTTCAAAGTTGACACAGAGCTAAAGATTGAGTGAACTTACCAGAAGCAAAAACTGGTGGTGGCTTCCCTTCTAGGTTGTCCACATCGGTATTGAAAAGTGGAATTTTAGGGTCATTATATGCAACGACTTCCCTTAAAACACATAAAGTCTGAATGTGAACTTTCATAAACAGTACTAAATTTATTTCTTTTTACAAAAAATTTGTCTGGGGGCCAGGGAGATGGCTCAGTGGAATAAGCGCTTCCCTGGCCAGTGCAAGGGCCTGAGTTCAATCCCCAGTTCCGAAAAAAAAAAAAAAAAAAATTTCTGTTTGGTACAGGGTCTCACTATGCAGTTCAGACTGAGAGTGATCCTCCTGTCTCAGTCTCCCTGGCATTGGGATTATAGGCATGTGCTACCACGCCCAGTTTCGGTGGCTGGCACAGCCTGGGGCTGGCACAGCATGTGTATTGGGGATTGAACCTGGGTCCTTGTGCTTGCCAGGCAGGTGCTTAGACTGCCACGCTATTTCCCCGGCCCAGCACTAAATTTCTTATCATCATTTGTTTCCCAAGAAAACACATGAGCCTTAATTTCCATAATTGTAAATAATTATGGATTGGTTTGCTGCAACAAAGGAACAGGGCCACATTTTATGTATAACTCTTCCTTGTTCCTTTGTATTACTATATTGTAAGATGACAGATGACACTGGTCTATGGAAATGATAAAGAATGTTTTCCTAGGATGGAAATTCTTTATACATGAGGCTGTAAGTAGTAAACCTCACTTTGTACAGATATGATCAAAGCATTTTCTATTTCTCTAGAGTGGTCATGACTGCCACAAATGCTCCCCCCACTTTTTTTTTGTATTTCGTACATGGTCTTGCTATGCAGCTCAGACTCATAGTGATCCTCCTGTTCTAGCTTCCCCAGCACTGGGATTACAAGCATGCACCACCATGCATGTTTTTGGCGGCTGGCTCAGCAGGCCCGGGGCTGGGCTGGCATGGCATGCAGTACAGGAGACTGAACCTGGGTCCTTGCGCTTGCCAAGCAGGCGCTTAGACCACTGAGCTATTTCTCTAGCCCTCATAAACACCTTTTTACTAGTGCAGTAGTGAGAAGCTGCTCTCGAGTGAAGAAGGTAAATCTCAACTCTGTCAAATCATGCCCATTAACAGAGAAGGGAGATGAGAGGGACAGGAGGAAAGAAAGAATTTCCTGGTACTGGGAAGTAGAACTTCATTTTTAAGTTATCAAACAAAGCTTT